TTGATTAGATCTAAGGAAGAAATTTTTCACTCTGAGGGTGGTGAGGCACTGGATCAGGTTGCCCAGAGAAGTTGTGGCTGCCCCATCTCTGGCAGTGTTCAAGGCCAGGTTGGATGAGGCTTTGGGCAACCTGGTGTAGTGGAGGGTGTCCCTGCCCATGGCAGGGGGGTTGGAACTAGATGATCTTTGAGGTCCCTTCCAACCCAAACCGTTCTTAAAATTCTATGATTCTATGATCTTGGTCTCCAGTGTCCCTGCAGCAGTGATGAATCTGGTTTTGGAGCCTTTCCTCCCTCCTTGTGTAGTATTTCCTTATGCTGTTTGTTTGGAGTGGATGGCATTTCCCTGCTGCTTCTCATCTCTCTTTGGGTAACTAAAATGATCAATTGATCTTTGACGGGGAGGAGTGTTTTGGAGAAACAGCTTCCTCTGTCCTTTACCCTGCAAAACTCAACTGAACAACTGAAAACCTTCTCTGGGATCTGTCTGAGGTATTTAGTTAAAATAGAGAAAATACTCTGCCTTGGAGTTCCTCAAGCTTCTTTCTAATTTTTTTTTATATACACGTTGTTGCTTTGAAAAATAGTCATCCAGACATGTCAGTCTGGAATTCCTGATATAAAATTGCACTGTTCTCAAGCCTCTCCTCCCTGGGAAGAGGGTGAAGAGGAATGTGGTTCTTGTGGTTGTGTCTGTTCTCAGCTTTTACCTGGCTGGGGAGAGAGCAGCAACATCTGTGTGCAAAACCTCTCTGGTCTCTCCTCTCCAACAGCACAGAAAGAAGGGAAGAAGGCAGCTACCAGCAAAGACCTCTCGGATATGGATTACCTGAAATCTAAAGTGGTGGAGGATTCTTCCTCCTCGTCCAGTACAGAGGAAGACACAGATAGCGAGGAGGTGGAAGAGGAAAGTGAGAGTGAGGAGGATTCAGGCATTGCAGAAACCATTGGCACCCACGGAGATAAAGGGGGGAAGCCAAAAGGCCAACAAACACAGCGAGAGACACCGGTGGAGAAAAAGAAAAAAGGATCCGCGCTAGAGGTATGGCTGCATTAGGCTTTCGTCTTATCTAAAGCAGGAGCTTTGTGGGGTGGTACGTGTCTGTCAGGGACTCCAGGGACGAGCTGAAAGCCTGAAGTCTGGGGGACCCCCAGGTACCAGCTTTCTTGGCTCACTGGCTGGAAGCCATTAAAGTTGGCTGGATCTCCTCTCAGTGCTGATTGAATTCCTCCCTGCCAAGGCAGGGCTTCCAGACGAGTGCTGCTGGTGCCCTTTTCAGAGGCTTTTCTGGTTTTTCCTGTGTCCGTGTCTGCAGAACAGTGTTTCCTGCAGACAGAACTCAGTTTTTGGCGACTGAGTTTGACTGTCCCAGCCAAACCTTGCGCCCTCATCTGGCATCTCCTGCCCAGGCTGATGTAGTTGAGAGGATCTCTTGATATTCTCTCCCGCTCTTCAGCCTCCTGCTTGTTGGACAAGACCAGCTTGTTGTGCTGTGACTTTTACTGGTTTTTCACTCAGCCTCTTTTCTTTTTTTCTTTTTTTTTTCTTCCCCATCCTTCTGTCCAGAACCAAGGCAGCTCAGCGCAAGCCAGCACACTGTACACAGTGAAACTTCGTGGTGCCCCCTTCAACATCACTGAGGTAAGCTTTGTTACCAAGCTGGGAACAGAGGCTTAAGGGTGTTTTCAGTGTGTAACTCAGCATGATCTTTGCAGAGGCTTCTGTCTTCGTTTATGGAGCTGTTTTGAGGGTTCTGTGGGTGGTTGGGGACGCTTTTGAACTGGCTTTGTGCAGAGATGTCTTACGTCGCACGTAGTGTTTTTATAGTGTATATAAAAAAAGCTGAGTCTGAAAACTGCTATGTCCTGTACCTGAGAACTTACTTAAAAAATTAAAATTCTTCCTGCAGCAAAAGATTCGTGAATTCTTCTTGCCTCTGAAGCCAGTGGCAATCCGGATAGGAAAAAACGCCCAGGGGAAGAACACAGGTAATGTGTGTACGTGGAAGGGAGGTTGGATCTGTGAGTGAGAAGGCCTCTCAGTCACACCTCTGCTCTTTTCATCGCCAGTTCCAAGTCGCTGGCTCGTGTCCCGATTCTTACGGACCTTTCTGTGACTTTGCAGCTCACCTGCCCTAGTTGCTGTCCGTAGGATGCCGTGGGCAGAGTAATGTTGGCTGTGCTCCCTTAGCAGCAGCAGCAGGAGCCTTCTGCCTCCAGAACTTTCCTAAACATCTCCAACCATGCCAAGGAAAGGTTTCTTCCTCTGGGATAGCTGCAGCAGCACCCAGAAACTTTGCTGACTTGTGCATATCAGCAGCAGAGCAGTCTTTAGCCGAGGTGGGTGTCCTGAGAGGCTGTGTCTACTGAAGATACCCATCAGAAAGTGTGTGGAGCAGGTCCTCAGAGCTGGCAAGGAACTTTGCTATACGTTTTCCTTTCATAGCCTGACAACAGATGCACCTTTTATTTGCTCTTGGAGACACCCGTGAAAGCCTGCTTCAGCTGTTGAATCAGGCTGCTTTGGTTTGCATGTAGAGAATGAGCTTTTAAGAGGCAGCCTTCCAGTCTGCCATGGTCATTTTCAGGCTGGATTGAAACTTCAATGGCAGCAGAACGCTTTATCTATAGGAATCTATATTAAAGAAAGTCCAATTCACCCTTAATTAGCCAATTAGTGGTTGTGTGTTCCCCCACATGATGCTCAGTTGAACCTTTCCTTCCTCCAAGGTTATATCTTTGTTGACTTGAAGAGTGAAGCAGAAGTGCAGAGGGCCTTGAAGCGAAAAAAAGAATATATAGGTAAGGGCTGTTTGTTCCTTCTTGTTCTGGCTGATGTCGATGGCAGAGTGCTCAGCTGCTGAAGTGCTCACTGCGGAAGTATCTCCCGTTGTTTTTGTTTTTTCCCAGGCAGATGGTGGGGGTGGTTTCCTCCGCTCCGGGATAAACCAGGTGCCATGTCAGGAGCAGCGTAGAATTGGCGAGTGCGTGTTGCTCTTTGGCCCTCGCTTGTTGTCATGTGCTTCCAAGTGCATCTTGCTCTTGGTATAAAAGTGTTTGAATCTGGTTGGGATAGTGTAGGGGATTTATGGAAATGAGTTTGTAAGCCCGTGTGTGAAACCTGCTCTTGGCCTAGTCCTCAGCTGAACGACTAGAATCGTATTTGCAAAAATCCTATGCAGAATGGGAGTATCTACTTGGAAGCCTGTGAACTAGGTTGGCACAGGCAGCAAGGCTGGAGACTGGAGTTGTCTAGCAAATGTCATCCTGGGTTTCATGAACACTGATCTCTTGCAGCTCCCACCCCACTCCCCCCCTTTTTTTTTCTTTCAAATCAGGCAGAGTTCTCAAAGCTTGTGGAATTTGTAATTGCTGGTGTCACTGCTGTAAGCCCGGGCTCTTTGCGTGTTGATATTGATTGCCCATGGCCTTGGGAAGCAACCAGTGTGCTTCTGTGTGTGTTTGTGGATTAGGTGGACGGTGCATTGAAGTATTCCGATGTGGGAATACCCCAAAAGAAACTGCTGCAGCCAAACCTGACAACCAGCCATGGCAAAGAAGGAAGAGGGACGATGAGGAAGAAGAGGACTTGGCAGAATCAGGGAGACTCTTTGTTAGGAATCTTCCCTTTACTAGCACTGAGGACGACTTGGAGAAGATCTTTTCCAAGTATGGTGAGTATTTGCTGTGGGACTGGCACTCGCAGGGCTACGACTTTGTGCACGCAGAGGTTTTCTTGCTGGGTGTGAATGGACAAAGCTCTGTTGTCCCTCACCGCTCAGATATGGTCTGACTCCCATCTCTTTCCTGCCTGGTGTGGTAGTGTGTGGCTGCTTGGCTTTGAAACTGGTGCTGGCTCCGTGCTCCTTCACTCGCAGCATGTGCTGCTGTGTGCATCTGCCCTCATCCCTCTCATTGCATCTCTGATGCAACAGCAAAAGCTCTCGCCAGTCAGCGTAGGCTCTGAGTCCTAGTGGGACGATGAGGAGGAGAAGATAACCAAGAGCAGCTGCTGCATGAAATACTGATCACGCAGGAGACTTCTAGATAGCATAGGTAAGAGGTGAATCTCTGAGGTACACCTCAAATTCATGTTCATGTTTGGCATGTCAGGTAGAAGCTTGTAGCTTCCCTTTTCTACTTCAAAGTTGAACGAATTTAAGGTTGTCATTTGGCGTTAGTGTCCTGAGGGGGAAGAGAGGGTTAGATTGTGGAAATCTTTATTCCTGACTGAAGGTGAACACGCCTGCTCAGAGCTTGCCTGGTTTGTGTCGCGTGTCGAAGCCCTGCGAGCTGTGACACGGTGCCCAACCGGACTTGGAATGCTTTTGCTGGGCTTGCCCTGTTGTTCCGCAACCAGCGGCTCCTCACCCAGGCTGGCAGCTCGCCACGCACCCGCTGCGATATCCAGAGCTGCTCTACTCTCCTTGGCTCTCCTTTTCCCTGGCTTTGGCCAGGAGGTGCCAGTTCAGATCGTGGGATGGCTCTGTGAGGACGTCTCTCGGAGAAAGGCCTTGCCTTTTGCAGGACCCCTCTCGGAGATCCATTTCCCTATAGACAGACTGACCAAGAAACCCAAAGGATTTGCTTTCATCACCTATATGTTTCCCGAGCACGCGGTGAAGGCCTACGCAGAAATGGATGGGCAAGTGTTCCAGGTACGATGACTGATGGTTTTCCTGTGCTGTTGGACTGCAGCTGGTGGGAATACTTGTTAGTAACGCGGCCAAGTGTTTGTTTCTGTGCTTTGCTGAAAAGGTTGAGTCTCTTCTGCCTTGCTGTATGGGAGCGTAGTTGCTTTTGGTAGAGCAGCCTGGTTTGAACAGCCTTGCAGGCACCAAAGTCTGAGCTAGAGGTGGAGGAAGGAGATCTGAGTCTGTCTGTTGCCTTGTGTGGCTGCTCTGACTTGCAATAATGCCTCCTTCGGGAAGGAAGGTTCCCTTCTTCCACCTAGGCTGCTTGACTAGGAAAAGTGCCAGAAAACTTCCTCCACTCTGCTTAGTTCATGAGCTTCTGTGCATTATTTCAGAGCTTCTGGACCTCTTCTTCCTTCCTTCCTTCTAGGGTAGAATGATGCATCTTTTACCGTCCACAATCAAAAAGGAAAAAATCGAAGATGCAGATGCAGAAGAGTCTTTGTCCTACAAAAAGCAGAAAGAGGCCAAGGACAAAGCCAACAGTGCCAGGTACAGAGGTGTCTTGTAGTGGAGCAAGACAACCCAACCTGCCAAATTCCCAAGTGGCAGAAATGCATGTGGGGTCTTGGCAGGGGCTGTACAGATTGTTAAAGTCAATAAAACATTTGCTGTGCAGCAGTTTCCTTTATCTCTTACCTACTTGATTTCTCTCTCCCAGTAGCTCTAGTAGTTCAGTGAGCAGCAGGAGTTGAGAGAAACATGGTTTTTGATGGCTTTGTGTGTGAGTTTTCATTTCTCTGATGTCTAATAAAAGTTGGTCTGATGCTGTAATTCTTTAGGGTAGTGGTTTCAGTTCAGTTGGGTCTTTCTTCTTTGCTTGGCCACCTGTATTTATAAAACTTGTAGGAACTCTCTATCTTTGTGTGACAGATGAGTTTGAAAGTAGTTGATGCTTTCAAACTCGAAGGGGAAGGAATGCAGCCTTACTCACAAGGGCTTTGTGCATTTAAGAAACTAGTTCAAAAAGACGTGTGTTCCTCTGAGCCAACATCTGAACTTCCAGCTGTACCTGCAGGGCTGTGGCCAGTAACCTCTGGGGAAGAAGAGCAAAGCTACCTGCACTGCTGCATCTCTGTTGCCTCTCCAGTCGTGCCTCCCTCATCCTGACCCATCTCTAAGGATCTTCTACCCTTCTTTCATCCTGGCTGCTAAGGGTGGCATTCAGAGCTGTTTTTTCCCGGGACCATTGGATAGAGAGACACCAGTGGAAAAAGGGACTGTGTGACCTGGCTCTTCTTTTCTCTTTCCAGCTCCCACAACTGGAACACGTTGTTTGTGGGGACAAACGCCGTGGCTGATGCCATTGCTCAGAAGTACAATGCTTCTAAAAGCCAAGTGCTGGATCATGTGAGTTGGGTTATTGATCAGCTGGGATGGCAGATCATTTTCCTATCTGTTTCCTTGTGCCCTGGTCTTTTCATGCAACAAAAGCCTCTGTGTATCCACGAGCACCAGACAGGCTGAGAGATCAGTAGCCTCTCTGGGATCTGAGCCTAACAGTCCCTTTGTTACTGGAAGACAAAGTCATGCTCGCAGCTCCCCTGCTCACTCTGCTTTTCTGTGACTGAATTTTGCATTTCTACATAACTAGTTGTTGGGAATTTGCACTCTAAAGCTCAGGTCCTTCCTGGAAACTTCATTTTGCCTTAGGAAGCATCCTGACTCCAACAGCAAAATTCCCAGCAGCTTCAGAGGAGCTGGAGCATTTTACATTCGAGCTCTCTGCCAAATTCCCTTTGCATCTGCATATGAGAGCAGCAGGAACAGCAGGTGCTCAGCATCTTCCTGGATCAGACTTTTTTCTTCCCTCTTTGAGCTTTGTCATGTTGTCAACTGATGTTCTTGCCTGCAGGAGAGTAAAGACAGCGTGGCAGTGAGGGTCGCTCTGGGAGAAACCGAGCTGGTCCAGGAAATTCGCCAGTTCCTCATTGAAAATGGAGTCAGCCTGGATTCCTTCAGTCAGGTGAGATGCCCAGCTGAAGGCAGCAGTGTGGACCTACCTCTTTTATATGATGGCCTAGGCCTGGCGTCCTCAGCTTTCTTTGAAATTAGTAATTAAATCCTCAGCATCTTGCAGGATTCAACCCTTATATTGCTTAGGAAACATTCTGTCCATTTGAAAATGCAACTGCCTTTGGGATGGGCTAAATAGATAGTTTGACAGCTTATAGTGTGATGATCAGCTTGCTGTAGTCAGAGGAGGAGTCCTCAGTCTATACCAGGGTGGATCTGGAGCTGAAACCTCCATACATGAGCATTTGTGGAACAAGGAGATTATACTGGGGTGTGAATCTTCTGGGAAATGTTTGCTAAATGGTTGTTGGCCCTCTTGGATTCTGGAAAGGAGTGATATCAAGTGAGAGAGCATGGCGTGTTGGATCTGAAATCTTCAATTAGTAAGGTACTGGATTTTGCTTTTTTAAACCCAGTCTTCCCTTCCTTCTCCCACTGAACGTGGCAGGCTGCTGGTGAGCGGAGTAAAACAGTGATCCTGGTGAAGAACCTTCCTGCTAGCACGAGTGTAGTGGAGCTGGAGGATGTCTTTGGCAAACACGGCAGCCTGGGCCGGGTGCTGCTGCCAGAAGGAGGCATCACGGCCATTGTGGAGTTCCTGGAGCCAACTGAGGCCAAGCAGGCGTTCACCAAGCTGGCCTATTCCAAGGTGAGCGTGGCCAGGGGTAGGCAGCTGCCTGGAGAGCGTGGACCTTGGCTAGTTGTGAAGCTGCAGGAAGGAGTGCTTGCTACAAACATGAGATGCAGAGGACTTTTGAGGGAAGTGAGTTATCCCAGAGCCACTGCTGTTATAATACTCTCTATCCTTGGGTTGAGGGAGGTGCCCAGTGCATCCTTGTGCAGCGGTGGCTGAGTAGGGCTCTCAACCTGCAGAAGACAGCTGGAGGTGAGGCTGTGACACATCTAGAAAAGCCTCAGTGGCCTGGAGAGAGTTTCTTTACCTTTTGCAATACAGGAATGTGGTACACGGTAGACTATGGTCCTGTGTGAAGCTGGATACAGACCCTCCTTTGATGGAAAAGAGTTTAGTCAGCTGAAAAAGTCGCTCAGCTTTTCTACTGCTGTTTTCCATTACAGAATAAGAGGAGAATAAAGCTGAGAGCAGAGCTGCTTCTTCAGGTCTCGTGCTCCACTCTTCATATCTCTCCTGTGTTCTCTTTACAGTTTCATTCTGCGCCATTGTATCTGGAATGGGCTCCAATGGGTGTCTTCTTCAGCCCAGCCCCTCAGAAAAAACCTGTTCAGGCTCCAGAAAAGGAGGGCAAACCAAGGCTGGTACCTGGTAAGAACTTTTGACTTTGGGACAGACGTATCTCTGTTTGTTTTGCTGCTCCTTCATGTGTAAAGCAGCAATGCTGATATTCTGGACCCTTTGGGGTGGCACTAGCCGGACCCTTTGAGGTGGCACTAGCCTCCTGAAGTTGTCTGTGCAGCCCTTGGAGTCACCCACTCTGCGGTATGTTAGTTGATCATGTCACACAAGCGTTGTGTTTGTTCCTGTCCCTGCCCTTCTCGCCTCCTGGGTGAGGCGTGGGCAGTGCAGTGCTGCTCCTGGCACACAGATCCAATTTGAACTGGGCTCACGTGAGCTCTGGGAAGAGATTTTTTGGTCCAGTCTGGTCTTGGCAGCAGCTGTCGGGAGAGCGGTAGCTGTTCTCTGTAAGCTGGACCTGACGCCCTGAGCGTGCGTGTGGTTGTGCTCTGTGCCAGAACACCATCACTGCCTGCGGGCAGCCAGCGTGCCACAGCCACGGCAGGACTGGGCAGCAGTGGGTGGAGTGGCTGACGCGCTGGTGACAGGTTGTGGGTCCCTGTGTGTGTTCCTTCTGGGCTTTTGTGTATACTTTGTCTGGGTGATTTCCCACTGCAAAGACATGACCTTCCCTCCCTGAGTATAACCTCTTTCTCCCCATCCCAGGGGCTGTAAAAATTACATCTTGCCTATATGTTTAAAACGTTTCAAGACCTTTTTAAAAAAGAGAAAGAGAAGGCTGAAGAAGCATGGCTTTATGTAGGTTTGTTTTGCTGGAAGGTAATTCAGGACTGAGCTTTGGGGAGAGGGGAGAAAAGCTGATGAAAAGCCTCTTCCTGGGCTGCCATTCTGTGCCTGGGTCACAGGGGAAGGCTGGAGCCAGGGGGAGGTGAGGGGCCACTTTATCTCCCTGTGACCGAGACCGTCACCTGGAGATAAAGGGTTTTAAGTGCAGGAGCTCCTGGAAGGCTGCTCGGGGCTGATAATGGTCTTTGCTGCCAGCTTCTGGATCTGGGAGAGGGAAGGGAGGGGATGCACAGTGAGCTCCTTGCTCACAAAAGGGCTTCAGGTGGTGACATGTGGCCATGTTGTGTTATGCCGGCCACAGATGGAGGCACCTCTTCATCCCGCCCCTCTCTTGCTGAATCTCTTACCTCCCCTTTCCTCAAACAAGCCTCCTTCCAAGGCGATGGGTTTTTTTCTGTGCCTTGTTGGCAAATACCTCACTGGCTGGAGCGAGGAGGGTTGGACAACCTGACCAAAAAGGCTTGGGCTGCGTGATGCTGGGAGCAGGGAGAGCAACCAGATGGAGCCACGTAGTAAATGTCAGCTCTTGGGGTGGTGGTGAGGGTTCTCCATGCGCCCCTGGCCCCGTGCAGGTTCCCCTCGTACGAAATGAGGAAGACATAAGCCTAGAAAACTCACCAGGAGGGGTGTTAATGCCAAAGGGAGATGTGTAGTTTGCCCCTCCTGAGAACAGCACTAGTTCTGCTGTAGGGGATGAAGCTGCTCTGAAAGACAAGTGGTCTGGCGAGGAAAGGAGTTCATAAGTCACTGGATGAAAGCGAGAGGGAGCTCGTGTACTCTCTGATGTCTGATAAGGGCCAAGTCCCACTGCAGTCTCCGCTTCAGTGCAGGCTCTAACAGGTTTCTCCTCTCTGCTGTCACATGTGCTCAGTAGCTGTGAGACCTCTTCATGGCATTAAGTACAGTAGAAATGATTAAACCATTTTAGGAGTTGGGAAGAGAGGGAAATGGATGGATGGAGAGAGTCAAAGTGCAGTTGCCAGAGCCTCCCTCCTTGCTATGACCAACCGTAAATACCAGCAAACTTGCCAGTGATGAGCTGTATGGTATCCAGGTTTCTGTTAACTTCCCTGCTGTGGACAGGTGCTCGCAGCTCCATCGTGGGGCTTGGGTGCCCCAGAGGAAGCTGTTGCCCCAACTGCTGGATTGTGGCTTGATGACTTGATTTTCTTTTTACGGATTTGTCTTTGCAGAATCCCAAAGCAAGATTTGTACAAAACAGCGTGCGTTGCTGTTGACCTGAGCGAGGTTTGTGGGTCACGGAGTATAAACCCATGGCTCTGGAAGTGTTAAGGCCGTAGTGAAGCCCTTTAAGACCACAGCATCTGTGCTGAGTGCAGTTCCTCATTGCCCTTCAGTAGGTGTTTGGCCTCAACGGACTATGTTCCATCACATACTGGTGGAGACGTTATTTCACGTCTTGCAGATACGTATTTGCCCCTGAGTTTGGGGCCCCTGGCC